ATTGTGATTACATAAAAACACGTTTTCGAAAATTAAAAAAAAATCTGTGATTATATAGGTGATTGTAGAGGAGTATGCATTTCAGAAAGCTCATTAATTCTTTATATTACTCGTGATCGTTCGGATTACGCAGATATTGCATCGGCCTTAGCACGACATATTCATAGACAGCCAGATAGACAACATAGTACAGTTTTGTATCTTTATTTAACATCTTCAGTAGAAGATCTGCAACGGCTTGGCTACCCTACAGAAAATATAACCAGACCGTCCTTAGGTAGAATACGTAATCTTTCATCATCAGCGGGAGGAGGATGGGCAGATTCTGTATCTGTTGCAACGGATGAAAATGAAAATTCAATTCTACAAAAAATATTACGTGACACAATTAAGTCTATTAAGTCAAATACTCGAGGTTTTTCTTTTAATCAATTAGTCACGGTAGACCTTCAGATAGAAAGCCATTGTGATATCATACCAGGTATTGTATATGAATAGATTACCAAAAGTAAGCAGGTCGACCAAAATTCAAGGTTGGAATTCCTAAATCAAACTTTACTAATCAGGCGACCATTTCCTAAGTAAATTATGTTATAATATAATTGGCTGGTATTATTACTTAATGCCCGTCAAGCTCCGGCCTATTCCACCTTAAATTTGAATTTTGGTTGCGCGACTAATCTATTGCTATCCGTTATGAATGAATATAGTTGACATCAAAAATTACTGAATTGCGGAATTATCGTTATGTTACGACATTGCAGTATTTACATATATTGTTAATCGATGCAATGCGGAAACTTGCAAATTAATTTTGACGTCAATTATAATCGTACTATCAATATCTGAATATTGCACGATTATCATTTGGGATAATTTAAAATTAATATGGGTTTATATGTTATATAGAAATTTCTTTGACTTATGCTCATAATGTGGATGGAATTCAACTTTACGTCGGAAAGCATTTGAATCCATCCATTCTTCGAACCCTTAATATGGACAAGCCTCTGAAAAATTTCATTAACATTCTCGTTAACCTTGGCCAAGTTTTTGGACTTTCGCGTGATCAAATCAATATATTTTATGATGATGATTCAACATCTGTTGCATTTAATCGTAACAGAGCCTTATTTTTCAGCTTGAGATATTACATTGATTTTAATGATTCTGAAGATTTTGTAATCTCAAGTGATATCTTGACCTCCTGGTTCATGGTAATATGTCATGAATTAGCGCATAGTATTATTAAGGAACACGGAAGTAAACATGAGGTGAGATTTTTTTTATGTTTAAAATTTTCTTTTAAATAATATCCATGGCTTAATTCATTCTATTTTACAAATTTACAAGTATTATATGCAAGCATTTATAAAATCATTTATGCCAAATTTAATGAACAAAATTAATGAATTCAAGTTTGAAACAAAGTCGATTGGATTACTTCGAAAGCGTTTGCTTCAAGCTGATAGGAATGAATGATAAATTGGTTATTATAAGACATAATTTTTTAGTAAGTTCATAATTCAATAAAAATTCAAAACATTATTCGTAAAAAAAAAAAAAAAAAAAAAAGTAAATACCACTACAGTAAATTAAACATAAAAGCTATTAAACCAATTGAACGTTGAAAATCTTGATATTGTAGTTTAGTTATTATTATTATTCAATTCTTAGTAACAAAATAGCATTTTTCACAATAAATGTTTTTGTTAATACTTTTTTATTTATATAAATTATTGAATTTAATATTCAAATAAAAATAATTTACAATAATCATATGCTGGATTGTCTGTAGGTTCAAAACAATTTAAATATTAATTTATTCATAACAATATTTTAAGTCTACAAAAAGTTTTTCAGAAATTAATATCTTTAACGGCCATTTATGTCAGGGACTCGTAAAATTTTAGTTTTAAAAACTCAAAATTTTTTCTGATAACAAAAAATTTAGGCAAAATTTAGTTTAAATTTAATAAATTTTAATGTAAATTTAATAAATTTTAGATAAATTTTGATTTAATTTAATAAATTTTGATTTAAATTTGGAAAATTTTATAGGTTCATTCTTTTTTTTTGTTAAAATACAACATTGT